GAGCAATCCCAATTTCGACCAGTACATATTTGAAAGTATATCAGCGTTGTTGAGGTATGTTTTCGCTTCATACCAGGAACCCTGGCCGACACTCTTTGCAGGTTTATTGTGGGTGGTACACCTTCCACTCTGCCTATGTTCGAGCAGACGCTCTTTGGCCCTTTCACGTTTATTCTTCAACAGGACATAGACCGTAAGGAGCTAAAATCTGGCTTATCTTTCATTTCTGACCCTCATTTCTGATTTTACCACCCAGAGTATATCCCTTACGTTTTCCAAATTCTCGCTCAGATGCTAGAAGCTCACAGCACTGGCGTGCCATCCGAATATCGCTCACTCCTGCCCTTCCTCCTGACGCCCACATGCTGGCAACAAAAGGGCAGTATTCCCGGTCTCGTGAAGCTCCTCAAAGCATTCCTTGCCCGTGATGCTGCTGAGATGGTCAAGACAGGGCAGATCACAGCCGTGCTGGCCGTCATCCAGCAACGCCTGATACCCTCCAAAATTAACGATGGTTGGGGTTTTGAACTTCTGCAAAGTGTAGTGCAGCATGTGCCTCCGTGAGTTTTCTGTGTTCTTGCTATGGTGAGGGTGGAATTTACAGCATTGGCTGGTTAGAGCGCAGCTAAAACAATACTTCAAGGCAGTTGTCATGACGTTACTCACAAGGATGCAGACGAGCAAAACGGATAAATATGTATATCTCTTTTCCCACTTCCTTCTCTTCACGATTGCCGTTAATGTTGATGGGCTTGGGCCGGACTATGTCATATCCGCTATCGAAGATATTCAGGCGCAGTAAGGCACATGTTACTCTTCAAATCTGTCATATCGCTCATCTATTACATTTTGCAGGCTTTGGTCGCAAGTTCTTGTCAACTTCATCATCCCGCAGGTGCCAAAGATGCCACACAAAGACAGGAAAGTCGCAGCTGTCGGCCTCATCCGCATGCTCACGCAGAGCAGGATCATGCTTACGCCTCCAAGCACGCAGAGCTGGTGAATCGCACCCCCTCCCCTTTTTGCTACTAACTCACGTCCCTTTCACAGGCACCCGGCATTCGTCTCCGTCATCAGGCTCTTCAGCGAGCCACAGTATCTCGCCAAGTCAAAAGACGAAGAACAAAATACTGGCATAACGGAGATTGACTTCGAGGAGCAGACTGCGGGGTATCAGGCTGCATATTCCCGACTCGCGGCGGCAGACGGCGCACCTGTGGATCCCGTGGCGTATGTGCGCGATCCGCAAGACTTCTTAGGGCAGGCACTGGTGAAAGCGGACCCACGCGTGAGGGGTTTGCTGGCTACAGGTGATGAAAAGGTAGTGCAACCATTTGTGCAGGCGCTTGTGGCGTCTGGGTATGCGATCCAGTAAATTATATAGCTGGGAGTGGCTGCTGCGTCTTTGCGGCATCATTTGTGTGACAGGAAGGACGACACTACACTTATGCTGATGTATATGCCTGTATAATGTATGTGGATAGCTAGCCAATGCGATACCGATTTGACTTGTGCAGTTGCGACGAGGTAAAGCAAAAGACATGCGCGCACACAATTGAACCACGCCCATTCTTTAATAATGCATCTTTTGCAGTGACCGCTCCGGCTCATCATATGCATCATGACGTACCGCGTTGTTTTGCATGCATGTGCCACGACTGCCACCATTCGCGACTCACCTATGACCGTACATGTTATGGTTGAACGCTGAACTGCCGGCTCACTCATAGGCGACTCGTGTCGGGAGATCCAGCTACACTATTAGACGTATGTAAATTCCTCGTTGTATGTGTACTGCGTACTCTCGATAAAGAACCGAAACATATTTCATGTCTGGCCAGTAGTACTGTAAGGACATGACAAATATTCAAAGACAAAGTTCCAGGCGCCAGCCCGGGCAGTCAAATGCTCGATCAATTAAGACAAGACGAGAACAGTGGGGTAGACCAAGTGGCCTGCATCGAGGACGAGTCATGCACGGCGAGTACGTCGGCATTTCGGCACATGGCTCAGGAAAGGATGGTTATATTGCGTTACCAACAACATGAACTTCATTTATGATACACTAAGGCCCCGGTCGACAAGATTCAGAGCAACAAATACATATGCATATATTGACAGCCCTGAAAAGATATCATATAGATCAGACAGATCCTAGTCCCCCTTTGTCGCAGCGGCTACCCGAGTAATGTTGTCGAACTTTCCATTTTAGGGAAGAAAGAAGGACATCGGACATCTGAGGTGCACGCTAGTACATGTCCATCCTTCGGTCCTTTGAAAGCTGGTCCAACATGGTCCATAGAGCCAATAAATGCTTTTGAGTATAAGAGCATCATCAGACTACTACGATGCTACAGGTTCCTTGAGCCCAAACCCTGGTAACCTCAGAAGATCCACGAAGACGATGAAAACATTAACTCTGCGTCACCATCCTGGTAGAACTTCCGAGGCTGCCAGGGACTTGCAAGTCTGAGGAGGTCCGTGCTCGTTAAGTCCAATAGTTTGAACAGACTGCAAGAGGTGAAAATAAGCAAGAGATGGAAGGTAATGACGACGGAGAGCAAATACCAACGTTTTATATACCATGGCCCATGCACACGATCAGTTGAGGTGGATATGTAAGACCGTTTCAAGAGCTTGATGTAATAGATCCTAGGGCAGATCAAGTCGTCAGGGAGACAAGGTTCCGAGGGACTTTAGGGTAGTATTGGCAGGTGACAGCTTCCTCGTGCTCAGAGAAGTTGCTGAATTGAGCGTATGACCGAGTATCGGGTTTGTCAAAGAAAAGCATTGGATGATACATTAGAATGCCGTGGAGATCGACAAGCCTGCAGTGTAGAGGAATGTGGGGTGAAGGGACCCTGTTCGGTCCGAATAAAGTTGGAGTATTTGAATCAGGAGTCAGTAGTACGACTTGAGGGGACCGAGTAGCATAATCGCGCGCATTCGTGACAAATATTCCACTGCGAACCGGTCTTCTGACTGTTTTGGAAGAGTGGATGTCAAACTTGGACCACGCGTAGGCTCTGTCTCTCAAGAATTTGTTGATGCTTGGAAGTAGGAGTGAGGTTCGAGCTGTCCGTCACAGTCACGGTGTTTGGGGCAGGGTGCAACTTTTGGCCACGGACTTCAACGATGTACTGAAATCTGGCGAAGAGCCTGGCATACCTGCCGCAAGAGCACCCTTAGTATCAAAATACATCTGGGGCAACAATGACATCAATAAGGTCGTAGATTGTCACTGACACTGATGTACAACAAATAGTATCTGGACGCCTGTATTGCGTGTTCAGCTTGCATGCCAGGCTGGAGAGACAATACTTGTACCTGTTCGTGAAAATAAAAAGCGTCGGGAATGCTGGCGTAATGTTCTTTAGCACTGATTCGGATGGATACTCGGCAATGAAACTCTCTAAGACATCACGATCATTGTCGTCTGCGGGACGGTCGTGTGAACGTCACACACGACATCAGAGGTAGGCGCAGGTGGAGCAGAATACTGGTACTCAACGATCGAGTATGGACTCCCTCAAGTTGTTGTTTACCGTCTGCAGAGTGACTGGATGAGGTTAGAGATGAAAAGTAATGACGATGCAGAGGAAATGCCTACGGTTTATAAACCATGGCACACAATCAAAATTCATTTGAGGTGAATCACGGACAGTGAATTGACTTGAAACCGTTGTGCTGGGCAGTGTCAGCTGGAGGATGTTCAATCGTTGCTCACTGGGTATTTGCGGCACGATGATCCTGGGAACCATGTCAGCATCTTACCGGTATACCTCGTCTTCCAGGCCTCTTCCGACCATCCTTCAATGGTACTTCTAATATCAATCCTGTTGACACACTCATCCGAGGTTCTGCATATCTTGATAACCGAGCCCGCCTTTCGGATCGAAGAACCATCACAATATCCCAGGATTCACCTCCACCGTAATGTGCCGCTTTCTTCATGGACGGCAAGCTGTATACCATCACAAGTCCCTTAGTACGAAAGGCTGGCTTCGTCATGATATAGTGCATCAGCACGCCCAGGCCTCTTTGACTGGCTGCACGTCTCCAAAGTCTAGGATGCAAGGACAGCATCTGGCGTTGTATTCACAATCACGAACAAAGGTTCAGAAACTTTCCTTCTCTTCTTTTTAAATAAGGTTTGTCTTGCGTACTTATCGCTTTATTCCGTATATCAGGCTATTGCCCTCTCCCATGGAGATCAAAGTAGAGAGGCGATGTTACTCGTTATAGAGCTGTCCGAACTATCGTGTATGATATATTTGCATATTGTGTCTTGGAAGTGAGCGCTTAGAAGGCTTACGCATCGGCGCTAATATTTACAACCTCACACATCAAGCATGATACGAGTATGTTCAGCTTGAAATCGATACTTTGGATCCCATGCGCCATGACAAAGCCACTGCTACTGTCCGCTCCAACGCTTTCCCATCGGGGTCGGAGCTTCGCTCTTGGTGATATGTCGGTATAATGTAACTAATAACGATGCTTGACCGTACCCGGTGCTTTGTCCAGATCTTTGGATGGAACCTCAGGCTTTCAAGTCCTCGTTGCTGACTGCACGCCAGAAACGGTACCAGGCTTTCCTGTTGGCAGGTAAACCGGACGAAGCTCTCGAATCATACCTGACTACATCATTTCTCGTCTTTCTATGGCTCGCGTCAAGCTTGGCGTATGCAGTGTAAGTGGTACGTTAAGTGATAACTCGTACAACTCAACTGCAGGTTACTGTGTACTACTTTTCCGATCTTCGACCCAAACTTACAAATCACTTCTGTCAAGGTTCGCTGACAGTGAGAGTACATATACAGCCATCCTCGTCTTCACATCGATTACCAACGGACGTGATAGTGAACAACCTCGCTTAACTCCTTTAGCAGCTTGTCCAGGAGCCAGTAGCCAGGTGGACTAGCGCATCCCAGCACGATCTCGGCGATCGCGTTCTGGAATCTCTCATGGCGGGAACTCGCACTCAGTCGTCCGAACTTGTTTGGATTTCTGCGGCTGTCTGCCATGACCTCATGAGTCACTGCAGTGCTATACAATATATATACATATGTACTTGTTTCAACTCAACGTCATCTGCATATGCCAGCAGTATTGAATTTTTTGGCAGTTCAACTGCCGGTGAAATGATATCTATCTTGTGCTGGGTGAAATAATGTACAATGCAATGTTTATGTCCTACAAAGGGTTCGACTTAGAATTGTATGTGGGGTAGGCCTCGCAGTACAACTCACAGCTAGCTTTCAAAATTTGCCTCAGTGGGTATCACACAATGCGGCGCGGGAAGTATGCTAGAGAGACCTGATGTTTGCATCATGCCAGTTCTGAAGCGATGGTGTAGATACTGGGACAAGCGTACTGCGATGGCGTCGTGTCAGGTACAGTCGGCACCAGAGAATATCGGGATCACCTACGTCATCGTTATCAACCAGCTCCCGTAGCTCAAGACGAGAGTTAAGACTTGTAGGGGTAAGGCTTTGGTTACTGAGGCGGGGAAATGGACTTACACACTGAGAAAACTATTTAGATAACCTGCAACACGGGTGGATAAGTTTACGATGAAATACAAGCGGGGGACGTACAGTGACTCATGAGAATGTATGGTACAAGAAAGGCGCCATTGTGTGGGCAGACGAGAAACTGAAGGAGAGAGTTTGTGAGTGGAATCACTTCTCCCGTTGAAATGCATACCAGTATGAGAAATAATGTGACATCTACACTGAAATGACGAATCAGTCGTGGAACAGCGTCGTACGAGAGACACGATTACGTGGTTATCAAGCCCACATTGACAACAAGCACGGTCAATCTAGTGATGAGACCACCGAGTCTTGACAAAAATGAGACGACAAGATTGAAAAATGATGGATGGGACGGACCTTCCTATCCCGGTCCGGGACTTATGAAAAAAGTACACTTGTGTAGCGGCAATTAGGAAGTCACATGCCATCGAAGACAAGTAAAAACTAGAAGCGGGCAGCTGAGGGTCGCGTAAGGTTGTGGAAGCTGATAGATTTGAAGGTGGGCTTACGTTGCTGACGTGAGTGCTATCCCACAGGGGATCACGGACACTTAAAAATATGTGAACGTCGATTAGTCCATTGTTGGACCAAGTAAACTCACGTTTTGACAACCATTGCTGCGACCAATTTGAGCAAGAGATAACATAGAGTGGAATTTAAGCGTACCTCCACCAGATCCTGTGTGTAAGTTATGCGAATCAGCCATGTCGCGCTCAGAGTAGATGGTTATTTTACCTAGTGCGGCCAATGCCAAAAGGACCTGCGGCGCCGGCATATGAACAAACTGAGATACTCATGCAGACTTCCCAGACTTACTATGAAAAATGTGACGATGATGTTTCCAAAGCTAACTAGAGAGTTTTGAGTGTAGATTCTCGAGATTGTTGGCTTAGACCTCACGTCGCCATATACGGTGAGCATATGTCCTAAAAGGCGGAATGAGTGCTTATTGCCACGAAGTAAAGATAACAGACGTACAATTGCACCAGAAAAGCTATTATTGACTATGACAGAGTGAGGATGCTTCTGATTGAAAGGGACGCTGAACAACTTACAGTAATGCCCATTGATGCCTGTGAATGAGTTGTTACGACACTATGATATGATGAAACAAGAGAAGCCTACCTCAAATGTTCTAGTTAAAGATGAGTATAAGCGGAACGACAAGTGTGAAATGACATACTTTGATACATGTGATGACATTGCAATGTCACCCTGCCAAACTATGGTATAGTGATATATCGATGCGGCGACAAGGGCGAGCTGCGCTGTATCTAACGTCCTAGGGACATGATTCAGAGCGCAGACCGAGTTTCAGAGTCAAGTGACGAACCACAGAAAGGCTACCTGAAAAAGACGCTTGAGATTTGCAATTGGGGATGAGGTACGTGAGATGCTGTGCTTACCAGGGCCTTCATACACCATCTGTCTTTTGGATAAGTTCGGAAATACCGCCAGGTCTGGGCGAGAGTAAAACCATAGAACCTAATAAAAAGATGATGATGAACGATGTCGGGATATCAACTGGAATGAGCTCACATGCTAGAGACGATGACTCCTGGTAGCGGTTAGTAGGGTGTCATGGAGGGATTGAGTGTGACACTAACCAATGAAATGTGAAGCTAGGACGGCGAGAGTATCTTCCATGGTGGGGAGTGTAAGGAGCGTGAAGGGATGGAGGAAGAGGGCATAAAATACAAGATGAGGATCAATTGGGATGGATATACATGCCGTGGTCTACGGAGCGCTTCGACAGACGACATGAACGACTAGAGAAGCTAAATTACATGGAAGGGGTATTCCGACCTCCGCCAAAAACAGTACTCTCGAGAACTATCAGGCCCATCATGTATGAAGCCTAATTCAGTTTAGATTTAATATTAATTGTTTTATGATTCCTCGTAATACTCGCTCACATCCTATGATAACCTTGCTCGGTCCATCACTATGTACAAGTCGCGCCAAGTTCAATCCGAGGAGATCATGCAGGATCAGCTTAATTACTTATCATTTCGGCTATAGCCGGAGTCTGCGACAGGCGTCTGATCAGACTTACTCGCTTCGCTTCGCACCTCGAACGGTACTCAAAATTTCACACTCATAGCTCCCAAGTTACACAACGATGCTTGGCTACGCGCCATCGAAGAACATTTTCCTGACCCGAATGACTCTCTCCCTTTACTGTCATAGATCCTAAGCGCTTGCGTAGTGTCTCTCGACAATTCACTTGGAATCATGGATGGTGGGTGAGTAGGTCCCTGACCTCTCAGCAGGGAATCCTATTTAGATTCGATTATGAACTCTCTCGTGTTTTCAAGGGAATAGGTGATATATGACACTTGACTGACCACTGCCAGACTTACATTCAGGATATCTGGCATGGTCACCCCCCCTTGATTGTAACACTCCCTGACGATGTCGCCTCAACAGGCAACCCGTGGGACGCATATGCTCTTGCCACTGTATCACCTACGATGCGCGCACCAGATGATGACAGTTGGCACCAGGATCTTGTTTACAATACCATGTGGTTGCTTTTAGTGTAACTCGAGCGGTGGAATCAAGCCTCTGATGCGGAGAACCGTCTTAAGATCCAGATGGTTTTGATGACAGGGCTTGGAATGGGTACTGGAGGCATTGGCGTAGCAAATGCGCACAGCAGATGAATGGCACGTGCGGTAAAACATCTTCGTCTGCCGCGTGTGTCGGAATGACGTAGGACAGCGCGTAAGGGGCGTCCGAGCCACGACAGACTGCCAGAAACGCAAGTTTTTTTGACAACGTCTATAGGGCGCTAAGATCGTTTGTACCGCTCACATGATTAGTAGCAGCTCCAATCTTGGTCTTTGCAGGAGCTTCCCTCGCCCTGAATTAAATAGATCACTTTTTGGTGCGACTTCTCATGCATGCCTAGTATGATTCACCTGTCTGATTGATTGTTCCTTCGCTGCATCGCACATCCGGCAAGTGCTTCACTTTTTGATGCGATCGGGCATCTTTCATACAGGATATACATAGTACAGACATTTCTAGGAACAAACGACCGACGCATTCGGCCAGTTTTCTTATCCGCTCTTGCGCCTGCTGGCTTCTGCGTTTGGGCTGTTCCAGACTATGTCGAACTCGTAGCTAATAAAGTCGGAGACAACAATTCAATCTGGACACTTGCACTTCTGCATGGGCGATGAATCCAGTGCAATTTGACCAAAGACGCATCGAAGTAGGCACAGTCCGGCCCCTTGAAGAACACGATAAATATATGGCCATACTACAGATAACGTCCCACAGGATACCATTTTCCTTATTTCGACTAACATTTCTTTCGTCAATCGGAAAACGGCGCTGCCATAATGTCCTATGCCACGTTTGCCTAATGGTACGCCACTCGACTTGTCCGTGGTTATATAAGCCAGGCTGGTCCCGAGCCTAACTGTTACTTCTGAGCGGCATACCTCTAAACTCAACTCACGGTGCTATATATCGTCACATGCGCTTATGGATACCTTACGGCGTAGTACAGCATCGTCCCTCCAGGAAATTATCCAAAGGTGGCTCAGCATGTTTGAGTTGGGTTGCATATAAGTAGATGTAACAGGCTACCATAACATAATGCATCAAAATAGGTTAGGTTAGCGACAAGGTCAGCACCGAGTACTACTCAAGCCCATGGTACTGATATCTCCTTTCGTGTGATTGATGTAGGTGTCAAATTAAGAAAAAACTGGCCAAAGTTGCACCAGTGTATAATGTTATCAGATATGGAATCCGCTGTATGTGTCAACCGTCAGACGATCTCGTGAGACCCTGGCAGGTACAAACAAATCTGGGCTGGTCCGGCAAGTGAGACGGGAAGGACTAATGTACATAGTCCGGGTGACTATGCAAGGTGTGCAGCTCTGATGCTTTCGGCGGAGATTAGTATCGTGTGTTCAGCACGCCATAACGAGGACTGGCATCACCCCGGGCACGTAGGACATCATGGAACCTTGCTGTAACAATAGTACGTGTACGACCTAGTGTGATAATCGGTGAACGTGGAAAGCGATAAACGACAGCTGATAAACCCCCTTGCGGTCCTACACAGACATCAACTGATAGCGGGCAAAGTCTTATTTACTAACCGGGATAAGTATCTGCCAAAACACGATCAACCATCTCCACGGACAATCCCGTGTAACTAGCTGGATCACAGAGCCCCTCGAGCTCCTCTTTCGATAGCCCGCTCTCCCGGACTTTATCATCGGCACAGAGCAGTGTCAACAAGGGGAGATCCTCCCGAACGCTCCGCCCACAAAGTTCGTAAACCAAATCATGCGTAAATTGTCGTCCCAATTTTGGAGCGAGGCCCATCATGACAGCCTCACTTACCACGCCGCCTCTTGTGATTTCCAGATTTCTCTTCATAGCGTCTGAATGCACTTCCAACCCTGTAATAAGCTCGAAAGTACGCAATAACACAGCGTGCGTGAGAGTGCATATCTGCGGGAGAACAATCCATTCTATCTCCCAAGGCCCCGTCGCGCGCTCATGATCCTCAACCATAGCATCATACAGCGCTGCAGAGAGCTGACGGACAGTCGCACCCATGGCGGTGATATACACGCTGGAGATGGGATTACGCTTCTGTGGCATCGTCGAAGAGGAACCGCGATGTGGATAGAATGGCTCTGAGACCTCTCCGACTTCCGTTTGCATCATGAGCTTGATGTCCATGGCGAATTTGGAACAGGTCCCCGTGAGAAGCGCGAAAAATCCGCCAACCTCCGCGATACGATCACGTTCTGTATGCCATGCAATCTCTGGGACTGACAAATTCAATTTCTGGGCAAGAGCTGCTTGGCATTCGAGACCCCGGCCATCTTTGATAGTGGCAAGTGTCCCTGCAGCGCCACCGAACTCGAGCACAAGCAGACGGGATTTTATTTCAGCAAGACGTTGTTTGTGGCGTTCAAAGGTGGCGAGGAGGCGAGCCATTTTGAAGCCAAAGGTCATGGGTACGGCTTGTTGAAGGTTGCTACGAGCTACCATAAGGGTTGTTTTGTGAGTTTGGCAGAGACGACGAAGGTCCGAGGTAATGGCGTTTAACGTCGCTGAGACCAGATCGAGAGTATCCCGAAGTTGTAGGACTGTTGCGGTGTCGGTGACATCCTGAGACAATAAATACTTGAAACCCAGTATGACATATGATGTACCTGGGTGGTAGCACCCCAGTGAACCCATTCGCCTAAACCAGGTTGGAGACTGTTTACTTTCTGGACTATCTGTTTGACTACCCCAAGAACGGGATAGCCTATTTTTTCCGTTTGTATTCTTAGTTCATCAAAGTCTATGTTGGTGACATGGCAAAAGGCGAGGATGGCATCGGCAGCCTGACGAGGAACGATCCCGATATCTGCCTGGACAGATGCCAAGGACGCTTCGAAGAGGAGATAATAGGAAGTACGTTGCGTATCTGACCAGACGGAGGAGATGGCTGGAGTAGAGAATATGTTTCTAAAGATGACAGAGTCAGTTACGGACGACATGGCTACTCATCGATGGGCTTGAATATAATATTTGTGCTTGTTATTATGTAATGAGGAAGAGGTTCGCCATTGTTTTGATATTATCGCTTCCTAATTAAGAAGTGGAAGGTTAAAGAAGGCATCTATACGACATTTTGAGTAGCGCCTACGCCCGTCGGGTGCGTGGTTCACCAGTTAGTTCTCGTCGCTCCACATGCCGAGTACACTCGTCATCGCAGTCTTCGGGCATGGCTCGGGGTGCCCACGGTGACGAACACAAGGCTCGGCCATGCTCCCGGGCATGCATTTGGCGCAGTGCTCTGAAGTGCTTGCCTATTCGGATACCGCTGATTTTAAAGTCCGCGAGGTTCTTGTGTTTCATGCTGTATGTATTGTGATGTGATCTCCGGATCCATGGAAGGTATCGAATTTCGGTCGAATAAGTACGCCCTGACCGAGTAATGTTTTCCTTTGCCGTCAGACTATTTAGTCTCCCAGTTCTCTCCTTGTTGACTTAAACATTTCCCCTTCCCTTCTTTTACGTTCCTCATCATGAGTCTTCCTGACTCTCAGCTGGAAACTAATGTTCCTCAGGATGAGCCACACCAAGACGAGGCCTACGAAGGCGTTCAATCATCTCCCTCTCGCGTTCCAGTCAATTTTTTTGACCCAGTTGGTGTTAGCGAACTTAAACGCACAATGACATCACGTTCCACACGTTCTCAAGTTAATCGTCGGGAAAGCTCTCGTCGCGGAAGTTCACCCAAGCCTCCTATGCCTGCCTCAGCAAAGGGCGTCGATACTCCAAGTTCATCCTCTGTGACTTCAGCATACGACGATGATGCTTTCGATTTTGAAGTCACGCTCAAAGACCTCGTCAGACGGTGAGTTCCGCAATAAAAAATAGTTGCCTTTGTTGATATATTATTAGTCGTGGCGAAGAGTCCATTAAGGGTCGTGAGCTTGGCGTCATGTTCAAAGATCTTCGTGTTATCGGTGTCGGTGCACGTGCCTCTTTACAACCTACCATCGGTTCTATGTTTAATCCTGCTGCCATCTTGAGGAACATTTCGGCGATGCGCAACCCGCCTGTCAGGGATATTCTCTCAGGGTTCGAGGGTGTCGTTGCACCTGGTGAAATGCTCCGTTAGTCGTTTTAATAAACTAACGTAAAGTTAAATTTTCGCGCTAATCACGTGTTCGCGACAGTGGTTCTCGGACGACCCGGTTCCGGTTGCAGCACGTTCCTTAAGACTATTGCAAACCAGCGTGGCGAATACCATGCTATACAGGGCGAAGTATGCTATGATTCCTTCACCCCCGAAGATATCGCAAGACAGTATCGTGGAGATGTGATCTACTGTCCCGAAGACGATGTCCACTTTCCGACCTTGACCGTGGAGCAAACCTTATCTTTCGCCATCAAAACGCGTACTCCACATGCTCGGTTCACAGACCAAACCCGTGAACAGTTTAATCGTGACGTAGTTGACATCCTCGTGCGCATCTTCGGTCTTCGTCATGCCCGAAACACTGTTGTCGGCGATGCTGCCATTCGTGGTGTTTCAGGAGGCGAAAAGAAACGTGTCTCCATTGCGGAGGCACTGTCTTGCCGTGCCCTCATTGGCGCGTGGGACAAGTGAGTTTATATGTGTTTGTTGTCCATTGGCCATGGTACTAATGGTAATATTTTAGCTCTACTCGTGGTCTCGACGCGTCCACTGCACTTGAGTTTGTTCAGGCCTTACGTATCGGCACGGATATAGGTCGTCTTACTACCATTGTGTCTATTTACCAAGCAGGAGAGCAGCTTTACGACCTCTTCGACAAAGTATGCGTCATTGCAGATGGCAAGATGGTGTACTTTGGCTCAGCTAAGGAGGCGCGTCAGTACTTCATTGATATGGGTTATGAGCCGCAAGACAGGCAAACCACTGCTGACTTCCTCGTGTCTGGTATGTTCCATATTGATTTAGAAGGGATTTAATTGTTAATACAGTGATTTCCAGTGACCAATCCAAGCGGGCGAAAGATTCGTGATGGTTTTGAGGGCAAAGTTCCCAGAACGTCGGAGGAGATGGCTGCTGTGTTCCTCGCTTCCCCTCTTGGTCAGGCAAACCGCGACTCCATTGAGCATTACCGCTCCCACAATGTTGGGAAGC